AGCATCTCAATGGCAAAGAAGTCAACCTTTATCATCTGTGGGTGCTTGGCATCTTTTTGATGTCTTGGCTTGCCATGACTGAATAAAATGAGGCCATTTGGCTCTGTTGTACGGAAATCAAAGGATATGGAGCCTGTTTTCTTTGCATTCCATTTTGGCAAAGAGATAAAAGACTCTGGAGTTTCAAAAGTGATTGGGTCCAAAGTTGCGACATTTTCACATTTAAATGCCACCACTCCATGGATCTTCATCTTGGGATCTCCTTGCTTGGCAAGTCGAGATAATTCCAGCCTTACATCATTATTTTTATATACAACCTGTGGGTAAAGAATAGCAGTGAGAAACTAAATTTCATATTTTAATATCTGTAACTTGTTATTAGTTCATGTAATTTGCAAGTAGATCATAAAAAGCACAAAATGTTAGTTAATTCTGTTGTGTAAAGGAGTCTTTTTTCAAATAAATAAAATTCAAGTATCAACTCATTGAATATAAATTTAATTCAGATACTGTATGTGTGGGCGTAGGCACATAGACTGCCTCAAATAGTTAAATAAATGTGCAAATACATTTAAATAAATTTGCAATATTTCAATACACACTTAAATTTATTAAAGGTAGTTGTTTTATTAGTTGGATATTATACTTTTAAAATTAAATATGAGTATTGAGGTTATTTAGTTTTTCCATCACTGAAGTATTTGAAGTAGGATTTAAAAAATATATATACTTGTCCTCTAAAATATAGGAACCCTTCTAAAGTCTATATATTAATGTTGCATATGTACTTTGTATAATAATCAAAAAAGTTGAGCTGTTAAGTGGCCTGAAATTTCTGAGAAAAATCCATGACACATAACTAAGATGCAAACATTCTTTGTTGTCCATCTATGCATTGATAGCTGATACTGTTAGGTAACATGGACCGTGATATATGGAATGTCATGTTTACTGTAAATCTATCCAACACACGTTCTCCTTGTGTGTTTTGTTTTACTTTTAATTTCTTTAAATGCCAAGTAAAGGTTTTCTTATATGCTCATTTTCTGAGGCACTTTACCTAAAGTGACTAGATAGTTCTGAATGCTTGAAGATAGTCCTAGGATTTTATGAAAAACTAAATAAGACATTGGGTAAATTCACTGGCAGGGCTCATAACATCATGCCTCTGCTATCACATCACATTTACTAAATTTATAGGTATTTTTACATACAGAAAAAGAGAATATCATATCCTTTCTTTACCAAATGCATATAATATACAATCACATTTCTATAATACATAGCCCATATTGACTTCAGGATGAATTATTTATGTCAAGATAACTTGAAATTATTTTAAGGTACTGAAAATTTTCACACAGTCAATGTTCCTGTGAATAAATAAATGGATTTATCCAAATTTAAAAATGTATTTATCTAACAGGAAAAATAAAACTGCCTGTATCTGATTGACCAATGCTATGATGTCATCCAAATCAACACAGTGGTGTGTCTTTTTTGAACCTGTGGTCAATTGAAGGAACACAGAGATGAATTTTTTAGCTCACCCCGGTGAACTTCCTATTATGATTTGTGAGTGGAAGCTTTATTTCTCAGAGTGATTAAGAGGGCAGCTCTGGAACTGGGATCTTTGAGTTCAAGTTCTGACTCCACCATTACCCAAAAGTATGATCTCTCAAACCTGGGTTTTCCTCCTTAAAGGGAACTAACACTATGCAGGATGATTATAACAATTACATAAGAAAATGCATGTAATTGAGAAAATCACTTAAAGGCCATCGATCCAACACATTGTAAGTTTTCTATAAATTTCAACCACATCATGTATATCATTGCTTAATCATAGTCTAATAGAGGTGTCGGTTCTAAAGTTATCTATTTTAGGAAAATGTTTGGAAAATAGGCCTTCATTATATAATTGGTTTTTATACTTGATTTGCATCAAATAAATGACTCATCTTTCCAGGGCTGAGCCTGTGGTTTCAATTTTTCTTAATCTTGAAGAAGGATTATTGTAAAGAAGATGATATCTTTTATTCTTTGAATAAATATGTACAATGACTTAACAAGCATCCATTGACAACAGAAGAAAAGAAAATGAACTTAAGCAATAACAAAAAAGAAATTACATTAATTCTTAAGAATACTGTCTTGAAAAGAGAGAAGAGCTATTAAGCCTGGGGAAAGTTGATTTAGGACTGCCTTTCTCTGGAGATCTTTAAAAGTGGAAAAAATGCTTTTCATGGATGATTTTTCAAGTTATAACCTCTTACCATGACTTCCATGCTAGCCAAGCCTATAATTTTTTTTTCATTTTTCCTGGTGGTTTATATTATAATATTTCGAGAGCCTTTAGACAGAGATATTAATAAGGAATGCATATTTTCTGATCCAAAGGATGCAAATGCTGATCAATGCTAACATGTTATTCATGCAGTTAAACTACCTTTATAGAACTGAGAGTTTCTGACATGATAAAGTAGGTATGTGGCTAGATATATTTTCTCATTAATCTAACATCAGTCACTACAAAGTTGAAGGATGTGGGGTTAGGACAACTGTGAGCAGAGTCAGTGAGAGATTTATCATCTTAGGAGTGAATTGGGTGTCTTGGTGATAAGATTCAGGAAGATGTAGGGAAAAGTAAGGCTATTACCCTTGGTCATATTAATTAGGATTAGCAATGTAATCCTCCCTCACCACCACCACCCCCCAAATAAATATCCACCAGAATCTATGATTTATGCAGGCAGGAACCTTGTGTGACCAAGATCAGTAGTTGGCACAGAGAAGACAGTAAATATTTGTTAAGAGTTGAATAACATGCTTCCTTTACTTTCTAAACCTATTTCTCAGATTACAGGCAAATAATAATAATAAAAATATGACAGGATGTAGTATTGGGAACTAATCTCACAACTTAATTATTAACTTTTATCTCTTTCTCTAGGAGAATGTGAAAATGCGTGGGAATATCCACTTCCCAAATGATAAATTGCCTATACATGGGGAAGTCTCATGTTCAAATTCATTTTGTGGGCTCTGAATTACTTTTACAGTGACTAACACCTGGGTTAGACCTCTCCAGAGGTGAAATAATTTTTTGAGAAGAATAATCTTGAGGAGAAGCAAAATGTGTATTTTTTTTCCTTCCCATTTTGTATTCATTGAAAGCCTACTCTAGAAAACAGAAGCAATTTTGGATAGATAGGCATATAGTTCTCAATTGACACTACTTCATCTGACCCAGATTTCATAATTACTCTTCTTTTCTAAAGTTAGACTTACTCTTAAAATGACCTGAATCTAGTTCAGTTAGAATAATGAGTAGCTGTGAGTCTTCTGAATCTTTCTGAAATCCATGTGTAAGCTATTTTTGCTTCCAACATTGTAGTACTCAATCATGGGATTACTTTATACTTATTCATACATTTTTTTCTTATTCATGTAGAAAGTCACAATTTAAGTTTCACTCTTGAACAAATTTATGTATAGTCTAATGACACAGCCATTGGTGATATTATTGCATGCTCATTTGGATCTGCTTATAGAATCAAGGTTTCTTCTGGGATAATTGATTTTTTTAAAAGCAATTAAAAAATGTTTAATTTCACTTCCATGCTTCAAGGACTTCCATCATAAGTATCAAAGGAATAGAGACATAAAATGTGCTTTCAATTTTTCAACATTTATTGGTTTTTGTTTTTCAGTTTTTGTTTTCAGCCACCATAAAATTTTCAACATATTGTCATGATGGTTTGTTTCCTTTTCCTCCAACATTTGTTATGACTTTGAAAATGTCACTTCAACTTTGACAGGCAAGAATGAGAAGAGGAAGTAACTGGTTGGGTTTCTACTCCCCTAGGTTAAACATTTGAGAGAGACAGTCACTGACTATCATCCTTAATGTTACTAATAGCCCTGAAAACAGGACAATATACAGGACAAACAAGAAAGTTAAAGGATACAAGTGACCAGTTGGACAATCTATATGTAAACTTGGTTTAATTTGAACACTAATTATTTAAGCTAAATTGCCCAACTCCTGTACATCTCAGTTTCCTAGTTTCTAAAACTGACATCTAAAAAGGATAGGTGTGTCCTAGCTATGAATTCTTGATCTTATTTTCCCACAAACCATGTGCTGTGAGGTAGAGGTAAAAGCCTCTATTGTTCTTTTTCTTTATCTGACTTTTTCCAGTTTTGGTTTTGGATGGCAGTATATTATTCTCTAATTTGAGATATATTGAAACACTAATCCATAAAGAAAGAGAATGTCCACTGCATCTCCAGGTTCATAGATGTGTCTGGAGGATTACATCTCTCTAAGGTTTGTGCAGATGGTATATATATACTATATCTTTCTAAGGTTTGTGCACTAGTGGCTGATGGACAAGGCTCTTCCCAAAGAGTAGGAGTTCACAAAATAAGTATTTCAGTGAGAAAACATTTGCCACTCAATTATGATTTTAAAAAATAAAGATATGCAGCAGACTAGAAATTCCAGTGAGATTTTTGAATTAATTAACACCCATTGATCCAGGCTTTTCATACATTAACTGTGATAGGCCAGGGGAGGTTAAAAGGGTTACTAATTTTGGATTAAAGATCCAGGCAGATAGTCAGACTTATTATGAACCTCCCTGTGATGGCATGAATGGCTCATTTCAATCTGTCTTGGTTTTTCTCTTCCTTACTTGGAAATGATAACAAATTAAGGGTAAGGATCAGGTTCTCAAGTCAGATTTCAGAGTGAATGCTAGCTTATCTATTTGCAAACCTGTGACCTTATACAAGTTTCCTCAACCTTGCCAAGGCTCAGGATTTTATCCGTAAAATAGGATGATAATATTGACCACAGTAGGGTTACTGGAAATAATAAGTTATATTTCAATTAAAGTGCAAGGATGGAGGACCTGGCACAGAGTAAACAACCCAGCAAATATTAGCTGCTTTTATTAATATTGTTATTGTTACAAAAGATAATGCTATCATTCTTATATTGAATTAAGGGAATTGCATAATTTAATTGTCTTAACAAGGATGACAGTTAACAAGGCTAACCATTGATTGTTAAAAGAATTATAGTGATGAGATCTGCAGAGCAGTTTGAGGTACACCATAGACATTCTCTGTAAAGTTCCTTTCTCTAGGAACACATGTACATTGTAGGCATATCATACTGGGAGTTTCTTTTCTCTCATGAGCTGGTTTCTGTGCCATATAACAACAATAAAATCTGCCAACAATATTAAAACTACTTACTATAAGAATCAGTAAGATCTATCAGTTCATTATCTATCAGATCCTGTTA